CATATAAAATCCTTTCTGTTCCCAGTGAGAATATTACCAAATTTACCATTATGGCGGCATAAAAGTCATTCTACTACATTTATTCTAAAGCTAAATATAAGGAACGTCAGATTTCAAGCAAAAGTAATGTAAAAAGCGAGGATACATCACACTATGCCACTATCTTTTTAGAACTATAATTTATTAGCTTCATATTCAATGTTAAAAAGTTGTTCACTGACTTCATTAGAGTAAAAGGAGCCTATGTGCCTGTAAACTACTGTTGGCCTGTAATATTGCCCACGAGTTGTTATCGATAGATAAAAAAAAAGGAAAACAAGTGTAATTCAATAGACAATCGCGAAAACTTTTTTTTTTTTTTTTTTTTTTTTTTTTTTTTTTTTTTTTTTTGTCTTCATGGTTATATGGTAGATAACAAGGTAGTACAGAGAAACTCGACATCTCCGAACGAATAATTGTGCATTTATGTGTTTGTTTGATTAAATTGAATGATTTTACCGTTAAACTTGCTGACTTTGGTGATGTCAAGAACACTGGTCTTTTATTATGTTCCTTTTTGTTGTGGAATACTTCGCTTAGAAGAAAAAAGACACCCGATTTTGTTTATATTTTCCCTTCTAATTGTTACCGTGAAAGTAGAGGTATGTAATTTTTATTCTTGCGTTCGCTATGTTTTCGAATTAAGGAACAAGAAAATCGTTATCTTCTTCATCCTTATCAGTGTGACAACTTTTAATTAATGTAGAAATAAACTACCTGGGCGGGACGTTCCGTTTTCGAACTAAGGAACAAGACAATCGTTATTTTCTTCATCCTTATCAGTATGACAACTTTTAATGTAGAAGTAAACTACCTGGGCGGGACGTTCCGTTTTCGAACTAAGGAACAAGACAATCGTTATTTTCTTCATCCTTATCAGTGTGACAACTTTTAATGTAGAAGTAAACTACCTGGGCGGGAACTTATGTTTTCGAATTAAAGAACAAGAAAGTCGTTATTTTCTTCATCCTTATCAGTATGACAACTTTTAATGTAGAAGTAAACTACCTGGGCGGGACGTTCCGTTTTCGAACTAAGGAACAAGACAATCGTTATTTTCTTCATCCTTATCAGTATGACAACGTTTAATGTAGAAGTAAACTACCTGGGCGGGACGTTATGTTTTCGAACTAAGGAACAAGACAATCGTTATTTTCTTCATCCTTATCAGTATGACAACGTTTAATGTAGAAATAAACTACCTGGGCGGGACGTTATGTTTTCAAACTAAGGAACAAGACAATCGTTATTTTCTTCATCCTTATCAGTGTGACAACGTTTAATGTAGAAGTAAACTATCTGGGCGGGACGTTATTTTTTCAAACTAAGGAACAAAAAAGTCGCAATCTCCTTCATTCCTGTCAGTGTGACAACTTTTAATTAATGTAGAGGTGACGGTGACGAGACCTTCCTCGTTCTCGTGGTGTAGTTGCAACTACTCGTTTGTTTCTTGTACTTCCGTTGGCACTGGAGGAGGAGGAGGAGGAGAAAGAGAAGAAGAAAAGGAAGAAGAAGAAGGAAAAGAAGAAGAAGAAGAAGAAGAGGAGGAAGAAGAAGGAGGAGAAGGAAAAGAAGAAGAAGAAGAAGAGGAAGAAAAAAAAATAATAATAATAATAAGAAGAAAGAGGAGCAGCAGCAGGAGCAAGGATTTTAAGCACCTTGTTGCTGCGTTGTCGGTTGGATATACTTTTGTTTGTTCAATCTCTGTTCTAAGTTTCTAGGCGTAGAGGGTGCATGCGGTTGTATGTGTGTGTGTGTGTGTGTGTGTGTGTGTGTGTGTGTGTGTGTGTGTGTGTGTGTGTGTGTGTGTGTGTGTGTGTGTGTGTTCATAACATTGCAGAATGGGTGGATATGGCGTATGTATATACCAAAGGGAAAGGTTGGTAGGTGAACTCAAGGTCCATGGTTGAACTGGTCATGGGGCAGGGTTGGGTTGGGTTGAGTTAGTTGGGTTGGGTTGGGTTGAGTTAGGTTGGGTTGGGTTGAGTTAGGTTGGGTTGGGTTGGGTTGGGTTGAGTTGGGTTGGGTTGGGTTGGGTTGGGTTGGGTTGGGTTGGGTTGGTTGGTTGGGTTGGGTTGGGTTGGGTTGAGTTAGGTTGAGTTGGGTTTGGGTTGGGTTTAGGTTGGGTTAGGTTGGGTTGGGTTGGGTTAGGTTGGGTTGGGTTGGTTAGGTTAGGTTAGGTTAGGTTAGGTTAGGTTAGTGGGTTGGGTTGTGTTAGGTTGGGTTAGGTTAGTTAGTTTAGTTTAGTTTATTAGTTTAATTTAGTTTAGGTTAGTGGGTTGGGTTGAGTTGGGTTGTGTTGTGTTTGTTAGGTTAGGTTAGGTTAGTTAGTTAGGTTTAGTGGGTTGGGTTGTTAGGTTGGGTTAGGTTAGTTTAGTTTAGTTTAGTTTAGGTTAGGTTAGTGGGTTGGGTTGGTTGGGTTTGGGTTGTGTTGGTTAGGTTAGGTTAGGTTAGGTTAGTTTAGTTTAGGTTAGGTTAGTGGGTTGGGTTGTGTTAGGTTGGGTTAGGTTAGGTTAGGTTAGGTTAGTTTAGGTTAGGTTAGGTTAGTGGGCTGGGTTGTGTTAGGTTGGGTTAGTTAGGTTAGGTTAGGTTAGTTTAGGTTAGGTTAGGTTAGTTGGGTTGTGTTAGTTGGGTTAGGTTAGGTTAGTTAGTTAGTTTAGGTTAGGTTAGTTAGTGGGTTGTGTTAGGTTGGGTTAGGTTTAGTTTAGTTTAGTTTAGTTAGTTTAGGTTAGGTTAGTGGGGGTTGAGTTGGGTTGTTAGGGTTAGGTTAGTTTAGTTTAGTTTAGTTTAGTTTAGGTTAGGTTAGTGGGTTGGGTTGAGTTGGGTTGTGTTAGGTTAGTTTAGTTTAGTTTAGGTTAGGTTAGGTTAGTTTAGTTTAGTTTAGTTTAGTTTAGGTTAGGTTAGGTTAGTGGGTTGGGTTGAGTTGGGTTGTGTTAGGTTGGGTTAGGTTAGGTTAGTTTAGTTTAGTTTAGGTTAGTGGGTTGGGTTGAGTTGGGTTGTGTTAGGTTGGGTTAGGTTAGGTTAGTTTAGGTTAGGTTAGTTAGTGGGTTGGGTTGAGTTGGGTTGTGTTAGGTTAGGTTAGTTTAGTTTAGGTTAGGTTAGGTTAGGTTAGTGGGTTGGGTTGAGTTGGGTTGTGTTAGGTTAGTTAGGTTAGGTTAGTTTAGTTAGTTAGGTTAGGTTAGTGGGTTGGGTTAGTTGGGTTGGTTAGTTAGGTTAGTTTAGTTTAGTTTAGTTTAGGTTAGGTTAGGTTAGTTGGGTGTTAGGTTGGGTTAGGGTTAGTTTAGGTTTAGGTTAGGTTAGGTTAGTGTTAGGTTGGGTTAGGTTTGGTTAGGTTAGTTAGTTTAGTTAGGTTAGTGGGTTGTTAGGTTGTTGTTAGGTTAGTTAGTTTAGTTTAGTTTAGTTTAGTTTAGGTTAGGTTAGGTTAGTGGGTTGTGTTAGGTTGGGTTAGGTTAGGTTAGTTTAGTTTAGTTTAGGTTAGGTTAGGTTAGGTTAGTGGTTGAGTTGGGTTAGGTTTAGTTTAGTTAGTTTAGGTTAGGTTAGGTTAGTGGGTTGGGTTGAGTTGGGTTAGTTAGTTAGTTTAGTTTAGTTTAGTTAGGTTAGTTAAGGTTAGGTTAGTTAGTTTAGTTTAGTTTAGTTTAGGTTAGGTTAGGTTAGTGGGTTGGGTTGAGTTGGGTTGGGTTGGGTTAGGTTAGTTTAGTTTAGTTTAGTTTAGGTTAGGTTAGGTTAGTTGAGTTTTTTAGGTTAGGTTAGGTTAGGTTAGGTTAGTTTAGTTTAGTTTAGTTTAGGTTAGGTTAGTTGGGTTGAGTTAGGTTGGGTCTGCTGTGACTGATCCTACCTTCCCGCATTCCTGCTTCTGAGTAGGCATCAAGTCAATCAATTTGTTGATGGTATATCGCTGGTGTGTGTGGGTACCTTGATGTCTATATAAGGGTGGGGGGGGGGGTCAGAAAGAGAGTGGATTTATTTATTTATTATATTTTTTAGTGGTGGTGGCGACCAATATGTGGTGGAAATTTTTTTTTAATGGTTTTCTAGAGCCTGATAAATCTAGAATGAGATGGAATACATGAAACGACTCTCCAGACCTGTACTTTTGTATGTGGTCTTCCAAGGCTATTCTTACCCGTGCATGTAAAGGTTTACGTTCAAGACTATGTTATGCTGTCCACATGATGAACTGCTTTCCTGTTTATATTGCATTCACTGTTTTCACTGTCGACCTGGAAACCTGTGTTGCTGTCTGCGCTGTCGCCTCTATATTCACACTGTTGTTACTGTTGTTTGGTAGGGATGTCAGAGTTGTTTAAGAATGCTTTTCTCATTTATGCGGGAAGGGCGCACGCACGCACGCACTCACTCACTCACTCACTCACTCACGCACTCACTCACTCACTCACACTCACTCACTCACTCACTCACTCACTCACTCACTCACTCACTCACTCACTCACTCACACACACACACACACACACACACACACACACACACACACACACACACACACACACACACACACATGTAGGGCAACCTATTTAGCACAGGTGTATTACAAAACATTATTGATGCACTAGCTCTCTCTCTCTCTCTCTCTCTCTCTCTCTCTCTCTCTCTCTCTCTCTCTCTCTCTCTCTATATGTATGTATATTATATTTGTATATAGATTATGTATATATACATACATATATATGTGTGTGTGCGTGTGTGTATGCGTGTATATGTTTGTGTGTGTGTGTGTGCGTGTGTGTTTATTGATATAAAAAATGCCGTGCAATTATCTCTAATTTGGAAGCCCATAAATCTGTTAACATAGAGATATAGGAGGATTGTCATTATTATCATTATGCCCACGAGCGACTTCCACGGGTCTGGAGTAACACACACTGTGATTGGTTAAAGCCAAGAGTCAGAGTTAGTCAACATGGATTTGGTTAATAGGGAGTGATAACAAGAGATTCAGACTTTTAAAATGAGTGTTTTATGAGGAAACATTACAACGCAGTCAGTTATGCACACAAACAACATAAATATTCAATGATCAGCGGTAATAATAACACATTACATTAGATTTTATGGTGAAACGAATTCAGTAATATATTTTATTGCTGTAACAAGAAATGTAACAAAACACAAAGACCATTATGGGAAATACAGTTATCAGTTGTTATCTTAATGCAAAAAGTAATATTGGTATAAAGTATATAACTATTGATACCAGGGCACATGATAAAAAATTACGTTTCCATTATATTGGCAATTGTATTTGAAAAAATGTTGTTTGGTGTAGCTTCTTAATTATTCTCGTCACAAGTTCGCTGTGAGTGAATGTTTATTAGATCCTATTTAAAATGGATTTTTTGAAGTATTTACGTTCAAAATGACTTTACACATTATCTCTGTTGACTCCCCCAGGTGATAGACAACCTTGGGCTGCTGTCTCTTCGGTTTTGCACTGTTAAGGAAAGTCGGAAGTTTCGAATAGCAATGATGGGAAACCTCTTGGGGAAAAAATTATAGACGTTTTTTTCTTCGTTTTCACCAACAAGGAGAGTCAGAAAGAAGCCACGTGGATGTATAAGAACATTCTCCTGCTAGGCTGTTATGTTGACCCTCCAAGAACAGAACTTGTTGATGAAATGCTAACACGCCACTGTGGTTTCCATAGTGGATGGCCGAAGTTCCTAACTTGCCTTGTTTGACAGTGTCTTAGGCCTCTGTCAATTGAAGTTCCTGGGAATCTGTGCTTCATGAGGACACACGTGAAGAAAGTTAATAAACTTGTGGTATAAATAACATTTAGTTATTACCTTTGCTTGATTCTTTGTGTGGTTTTGTTTCCTCTCTCTTCTCTCTAATAGTAACTTTCTTTTTTTTGTTAGTCTAAAAGGACGTTAAACCTCAAACTCAAAATAGGATGTACAGCTTGTATAAATGTTATGAACATATATGAGCAATAAGAGACTAAAAGCTAATTTCTGCATAATCTTGTATGAAATATGCAGTATAGTTTTATTTATAACTTAGTACCAAGTATCTCTCAATTACATCGTTAGAGATGTATGCGCTCCTCTGTTTGTTTACCATAGCATTCTACTGGCAGTAAATCTCATTAGGAGTGTTATCGCTGATCCAAGCAAGGAACTCGGTTACTCGAACGTAAACAGTCGGTTTAAAGCAACTTTGCCCAAAGGAGACAATCCCTACCTGGGTGCTTCTCCCTTCCTCCTGTACGAAAAGCGGCCCCCCAGAGTCGCCAAAGCAGGCACCCTTTGCGCTCTTGTTCTTTGACTTCTTCCTCCCTGCACACATCATTTGGGGGGTGATGGGAGAACCGGCTATTTTATCCAGTTTACAGTCCCTGATGGGTACGTTGACCTCCCTGGCAGCGTCTGGATACACCCCTTTCCCGTTCTTCGTGTCTCCCCAGCCTATCACCGTCCCTGTCTCTCCTTCATACTTCCTGTTGGGGTCAGAAGGCAGACACACTGGCCGAACTTGCGGGCGTGTTGCCACATCCAATGACTCTTTCAAAAGCAGGAGAGCGATGTCTTTGTTGTTATCGGTAAGATCCTGAGGGACGTAATCCTCGTGGATGATGTAACTCTTCACATCCACCGCCCGAGTGACGCCCGGTATGTCGTCATCTTCAGAATTGAAATCGTGGTTGGCAATTCCTACTTGAAATTCCTTGGCCGGTAAAGGCAGATCGTCATCGCCCAGTAGACAGTGCGCTGCAGTGAGAACATAATTCCGGTTGATGATAGATCCGCCACAGTAAAACTCATTTTTGTATGCTCTAGGTCGAAGCATGCCGATGAGCCAAGGATACTTGTAGTAAGGAGATATCTCTTGACCCCCTATGATACGGGCGTCATTAGCCAGTCCACAGCGACAAGAACCTGCAAGGACATGAAGTGATACATTATCATTACATCATAATGTAAACAAAAAGTCTCTAATTTCTGTAAACTGTATAATGTAAGATATACACAAAATATCTAAGAGAAGTATTACTTTACTTTCTTTAACATAATAGCATCCCCCAGGAAATTACAAATATTATTTATGATACATGTGCTCCTCAGTATACATGGTATAGGTACAGCTCAGAATCATCTTAAAGACATGCTGGAGGTCTAAACAACAACACGATTAAAGCACCATATCTAGGGCTTAGCCTTCCTTACACCACAGCCTTATTTCGACCCTGCACACCTGTAAGTATCGGCAGGTAGACTAGGTGTGCTTGACTTAAGTGACCTGGATTTTGAGCTTTGCTGTTTTAGTTGTGTACGTGTCCTTATTATACAGAGTGCTATATTGTGTCGTTAAACAATATAGCACTACTTTTTTATAAGCAGTTTAAACTTACAGAAAGTTTAAACTACTCTGTAGTGCATGCCCATCTCTTAGTAATCTTCTATGATAATATATTATACCCATACTCATTTCTGTTCATGATG